TGCTGCACTGTTCATTTGAAGAGAGAGCAGAGGACAAAACAGAACAGAGGACACCTTTAGCCACGCACACACACATACACACACATACACATATGCATGTGGGTTGAAATGACAGCAACCCTTCTTTTCCAGCTAACAAACCTCTGGTGGATTTCGTATGAGACATAGAGTGAGCAGTAATGTCTAACCTGTTGCTGCTCTTGTTCTGGCAGAGGTCATTCTTCATGTGTCTCTTATGTGTAGATGATACAGATGCAAATGCTGGACACATGAGCCCAGAGGATTACTGTGTGAGGGAAAGAGGCCCAATCTGAACAGGGAGAGACACTAAGATGTTCAATCTGCGACTTCAAAGCTGTTAAATGCACACAGAGGAGCAGCTACAGCGCAGTGACTGAAACAGACATTATGAAGTCAGCAGGTGTCTCCTTTGCACTGAGATTTGGGACAGCTTATTTGATGCTGTCTCAGAGGGTCACGTCACCTTCGAAAAAGATATATTCTCTATTAATGCTATAATTGATAAAGGGACATTGCAGTATCAGTGAAACAGCCCTGAGGTTAACACATGTCAATGTGTTATTTTAGAAACAAGAAATAATCAATCTGAACTTTATTAAGCCTTCACACATATACTACATATTTAGGAACATTATATACTTTCTGTTTAGGTATCTTGGCTAAAATGGCACAATTTATATTTTTCCAAAGTATGACATTTATATTCTCATTTACACTGTACCACCAGAGAAACATTGCCAATTCAGGGATTTAAAGTTGAAGCAACGAGAAGTGTTATCGTGCTTTTTCATATTTTAAAAACAGATGTGAAGTTAAAGGTTGAGGTGTGATGAAGAAAACCTTTCAGTGGCACACAGGGATTCAGTGGGATCAATAAGAGATTTATTCAAATCACCAGACAGTGAATCTCTGTAAAAGGGCAAATTTGTTGCATGGCAACAGTGAATGAGGCTTCCAGAATGCCTGGTTCTGTAACGCTTGGGGAGATTTAGAAGAGCAGTGGCTTAAATGAAAGTTTTCATTGACAGCAGCCTTGACTTCCAGAGGGATGATAGAAGGACAAAAAAATAAGCATTATACCCCCTCTTTAACATTTCCTCTGCTATTCACAGTTTATATGCTAAAATACAAAGCAACTCATCTAATTATTGGCTTCTCATATTCATATTCCACATAACAAAGTAGAAAAAAAGGAGGGGTGGAAAAAAAAACTTTGTAGTGGTCTATAAAGACCAGTAAATTGAGATAAAATAAGAAGAAAACATTATTTAATCCCATAGTGGGTTAATTTTTAGTTTTCCTGTACAAACAATAGGCTGGAGAATTGGGTGTCAAAACTGGTGAATCAATAATGCGCATTAAGAGTAAAATAATGAATAATCAATATTTCACAGTTTTATGTTGTTGATTATCTATAGTGTATATGCTGTAAAACACCCACATATCTGTAAGTGATTTTTCCATTTTCACACCCTAGTCTGGGGAATGTATCTCCCATGATACATTTATTTTGATGATCACAGCTGTAAAAATCTAAATAACTATTTAAAAAAAAGGCATAATACATTTTTCTGTAATTAGTTTTTAAAGGACAAAATCTTGCTCAAATTTTATCAACTTAAAAAATAGGCATTTATACCTCAGGGTCAGTGTCTGTGTTCCTGAATGCTACTACTTTGAAGTGCACTTTGAGTGGTCGGAACACAGATATAAACAGAATGACTAGATATGCCAGCGCGCTGTAGCAGGGTTTTTTTTTTTTTTGTTTGATGGTTTTTGAAATTAAATGCTCTGTATTAATAGCACATGTTTTTGTGTTGACAATAAAGTAGACCGCATGAAACTCGCATGAAAGAAATGAGCAAGATATGATTTATTTCCCATGTACATCTAATGCCTTTAATGGGAAAGTTGCCCCCGCTAAAATGGCTGCCACGTAGGCATGTAGCTCAAAGGGGCATGTTGTATCTACTCTTCATATCTGTGGGTCCGAAGACTAGAGACAGGGTTCTATAAACACAGTCATTAACACAAATGTTAACACATAAGATACTGTGAGATAAGGAGAACTTTATTGATCCCCAAAGGAAACTGTAATTAAGTACATGTCCATGTGTTAAGAATCTTTCTAAAATTCAAGGAAGTGCAGTAGTTGTAGTAGTAAAGTATTAAAAAACTGTACTGGATTATCACTTTGGATCACATCTGCAACAAAAAAGCAGTCTTCAGCTTTGATCTGACTTCATAAAGGCATCACAAGTCTTGCAACCCCTTGCAAGGTTTACTAGAACATGATAGTCCTGCTTATTTAAAGCTCATTTAAATAACTTGGGAGTTATGCTGAATTTGGTGCCTCAAGCACATATCCAGAGTAACCCATAATACTCTCTGGGTGAAAACAGGTGCACATGCACAGAGAGTAGTTATTAAAAGCATTTGGCTCGCCTGCTCACATGTCCAAACTACTGGACCTCTGAGACTCTCAATGAGCTGCAGCTTACGGAGTGCCAACAGCACCCTCCGCAATCAAACCCACACACCTGGCTACCACCTGCCAGGCCTGCTGGAAATGTCATGGCTGTGTTTCCTAGTTAAACAGGATTATGGGATTTCTAATTGGCCCCACAGTGTAAAAATGGGACTTTAAATGTCTTCACTGTACAATCTAAATGCAAAAAAAAAAATAATAACTGTAAAATAGGATGAAAGTCGGATACAGAAATACTGTGAAAAACATTTACATGCTTTTGCTGCTCAGACAGTCAAAAGAGGACAAGTAACTCTGCCGCTTTAACAGCTGCAGATGTCGTGCAAACAGTCATTGAACTCCAGGTTGAGCAGGATGCTGAAAAGCAGGATATTCAATAGCAGTCTCAAGGATGCACGATGCACCACTGAAATGTGGCCGGGCCCGCAGCCGAGGCTCAATAAGAGTCCCTGAACCAGAGTCACGAAGAAACTACCCAGACTCCACAGTGGGTGTGAATCTTCATAGCAATGCCAGAGTCATTGTATAGAGTTAGAGGGAAATCTTCATCTGTGATTGGCTTGCTTGATTTGAAGGTAAAAATGAGGGACGAGGGGGGTTTGAAATAGAGTCAAAAATATGCCAGTGTCAATTTGTGAAGCAGACAAACACAGCATGGAAACACACCAAGGTTTTTTTGGTACAAAGAGCACTCCTAATATATCCCGGAATGTCTATAAATGCCAAACACACCCCCGTTTTCTGCACTGTTTCCACTCATATAAGTCGTCTGTTTTTAGTAGCAGCAGGCACCAAGAGGTGAGACGAGGCTCTATAAAGCCTTTGCAGTTCAAAAGCCGCCTCTTGTTTTTGAAAACACACGAACGGAGCAATTCCTCTGGGTGTAATCCTCGCGCACTTGTATGCCTTTGTTCTGTCTAAGTGTATGTGTGTTTTCTCTTCCCTCCTCCTTCTCCTCTGTGTTGCAGATTCATCCCAGGACCTAACAGAGAGCTCCCATTGCAAGGCTGCGTACCAGGCTTTGCCCCTCATCTCCCCTTTCTCTCGCCTCCGAACGGACTAAAACTATTACATCCACGGCAACCGACTGGATTACCTGGGACCACAGAAAGGATATCCACCCAGATAAAAACAGCTTTGCTCGTGTGGTGCCAAGGATTTGAAACCAGACTAATCCCCTGTTTGATCAATGAGCCCCATGTTGGTGACTCTCCTCTTCCTCACAGCTGTGGCCAGTTTCAGACTGACTCTGTCTCTGTTTCTCTCCCTCTGCTTGCCCTTAGAAACTGATACAGCTTTGCAGGGGGTAATTTAGAGATGGTTAAACATTATTTGATAGGCGTGCACCCTGCCTTAAGGTAAGCGGGTAAAGGAGCTTACATAGACCTGAACATGAACACAGAAATAAGGGCACATGGAAGGAAGGAAAGAAAGAAGGAAGGAAGGAAGGGAGTAACCTTGATATCCTTTTTATTTCTGTGTGGAAGGCACTTGTATTAGACTCACTACCCCAGAAAGACGGCCCTGCTCTTACTGCACAGAAGAGAAAAACACTGGATTTACAGCGACCAAAACCATGAGCAGCCGACAATGAGTCGATTAAAAGTCTTTGGTCTCACCTTCATCCTCCATGACAGACATTTTGACTCCGTTTGAGGGCATGTCCGGTGTAAATTGCGCACTTGTTTTTGTTTGTATGTAAAATAATTGTGTAAATATACATATATAAATACATGACCTATAAGATGACAGATCCAAGAAGCTGAAAAATATATTTAAGACTCTTAATGGTGGAATATTGATCAGTCACTGATTATACGTGTGCAGAGGCTTTTGTCCCAGTCTGGTGTGTGTAGGGCTGCTCTAAAAGTTTATGCTTGCATTGGAAAAAGCCACAACAGAGCCACAGCAGTAAGTATTGGTCCCTTTTGTATGTCAACTATATCCTTGGTTAAGCCAGGAAGTGCTTGTAGTTTCTGTAAAAATGAGGAAAAACACTGTACAGAACTGCCTCACAAGAGAAAACAGCACTAACAGCAACCCCTGAGCTCTGCGCTCAGATACATTAGGGACAGAGAACAGCAGAAGAAAAACTCGGAGCATAATCGGACAGTCATGGGCGACTGCTTGACTGTGTCTCTTCTGTAGATATCCCTCTCACAGCGCAGAGAGAGATGATTTATTCAAGATGACAGCGAGAAAGTATTAGTCACAATGGAGAAACATACAGTTATCCCCCAGTAGATAAAAGTACATTACAGGACAGCCTTATGAGAAATAAAAAATGGTTTTCTATACTGATATGCTGTCTCCTTTTCCTTCAAACCATAACTGATATTTTGAAAAATGTTCCTCTTATGACAATTTGATATGTTGTAATATGTGGGTGGAAGATCTTGTCAGAGTTTCATTTATTTGATATGTTAACATTGTGAACTGAGTTTTTGCTTGAGTAAACAAGCAATCAACAACAGCACGAGGCAATGTGAAAATGACTTACAGGCAGACAAACACACACACACACACACACACACACACACGCAGTGAACACACAAACAAATCGGTGATGCTTCATTTATACAATTCCCTTGGTGGCAGAGAGGATTTATCAGAACAGCACATTCAATTCATTCATGCAATTAGAATAAAGATTTCCAATATTGTGCCAGGCAAAATTCCAGATGATTTTCAATATCAGCCTCTTCTCTCTGCTGATATGAGATTCGTTTCTTCTCTCAGCGGACAAGCTAGTGTACATTCATCATTTAAGAATTTGGCTGGTTTCATGGAGCCCTGCGCCTCACTGAGCAGTCACAGAAGGTATGAAAACGACAGACACATCAATCTCCCAGTGGTCTTGCCAGATCCATGAAGGAATATGCAAAAAGAGAGGAAGCAGGAGGGTATTTTTTCCCCCTCAATGAGCCGTTTCCCTTCTTTGTTTTCTCATATCTAATAGGATTCACTGTCCTGCAGTCTTATTGAGCTCGTGTGAAAGAAAATGAGTTAGGGAATGAGTTTGCGTGTTTGTGTGAAAGCGTCTCTTGGCGCTTTTTATGTTGCTGTAAATGAGTTCATGTGAGTGTATGTGTGGATATGTCTGTTTTTTATTTCCATGCCTCTGTGGGTATTTTTAGAGAGAGTACCCACAGTCTGAGACAGGCATCCCACAACGACATACTGTGAAGATTATCCTCAAATTCACTGCTCGTGTTGGAAATCAAGGGATTTCTCCGTCCCTACTTATGCAAGTTCTAAGTGGATTTCTGCTTAAAAGGTGCTCGGGGATCAGAAATGGAAGAGGTGCTTTTTCTTATTCTCTTTTATGCGCTCCTTAGCTCTTTCCAGAAATGATGGACTCATGCTGAGGAGGGAGGTCCTGCTCCATTTTAGGCAGAGTAGAAAGAAACACAGCATGAATAGATAACAGCAGTGGCCCGGGTCCTCCCCCCCTCCCTTTCTACGACACTGTACAATCTCCAAAGAGAGACATCCATCAAGTTCTGCCGACCTCCCACAGCGCCACACAGACAGCCGTGTCCACAACACGCTGGATGGCTAATCAACGGCTGACAGCAAGGACAACCTTTTCATTCAGCCGAGTTGTCTGCAGAAGACGCTGGACTGGTGGTGTTTATAAAACTTGTAACAGTACCTTCCAAGGGTATCACCAGTAAATCAAACTTTTGCCACATATCAAAGGTAAATTTGTGCTTTAAAACTGTGAGTACCATGCAAATACCCCCTGTGTTTACACTTTATCATTTTCACTCTTGCACCATTTTGCCTAGCAACCTTTGATCGATAGAAAGGGCAAAGTCTTTACCTGTGGGGGCTTTGTGGTCTTTAATGAGAGTCATTATAGGCATGAGTTATGGTAAAAGTCACCTTTACAATTAACATCCACAGGAACTGGGCATTTAAGGGCACCTACAAACTGTCAATGAGACGCAATCTTCTGCGATAATTGCACAACCACCATCACGATAACCACAGGTTCTGTCATGAAAAGAAATGACTACAGGCGGTCCTGTAGTCACAGTGTTGAACTGTCACCGGAATTCAATATTTCATTTGTATTATATGAATTATTTCTATCACTGTGTAAAAGTTAACACTTTCATACATGCTAAATGGTAAAGATACGAGCTCAAGAACAGAGGTTTGTTTGCAGGGGGGGCTGCAAACTATGGCACCAACTTGGAGTGGCATGAATGAGGGTGCCCCCATGCAATTAACATTGATCTACTTTGGCTAGCATTCAGATTTACAGTTGCCTTTCTGTGTTTGATAAGTTTTATAGGACTGGAATTTTAGTTCAGTTTATTTTTCATTTTTGAAATTGCTTAGTTTTAATAAATTTTTCATTAGTGTTAGTGTTAGTTTTTTGTAACATGGGATTTTTGCCATGGGCAAGACCCCCTAAACATTGAAAACTGTGTAGAAAGAACTTTAAATATCAACATATTCTGGTGTTAGCCCTGTCAGAAACAACACTTTCATTAAAATTAACTATCTGGTTGATGTTACAACAGGCACATGCAGTAATCAATGCTATGTAGTGGTGTGTCAGTGCTAAGGTCATGCCACCCCGACTGAAAAGGTCTGGACACGCCCCTGCTTGTTAGCCTGAACCTCAACAACTTTCCAAGGATGTTTATTCATGTAGAGCACAACTCTATCTCCAATCAAGTCGATGTGGATCGCCCACTGACAATCCCTCTCCTGTCTAGACATCCATTTAATTGGATTATAAGACAATCCATCCATAACACAAAAAAAGAGCCAAAAATGTAACTCCTGGTGCTGTTCTAGTGTGTTTGTTTCTGTGTTAAAGATAAAAATCAAGGACATTCTCTCTGAAATTTTATTTTATTCAACTTTAAAAAAAAACTATACAGTACAGATTTGGTTAGTTAGCTTGTACAGTAAAGCCTTGTTTATTGTAGTTATTGAAAATGTTTTTGACATTCTAGTTAACACGACTTTATTAGTTTTTATTGAAAATAATAACTTTACATGCCGGTTGCTTTTAGTTTTGGAAAAAAGCACAACAAAGGAGCAGACGGACATTTCACCTTAAGTCACTGTCTGAAGTTGAAACAAAAAGCCTTAGGCAAAATTGAAACGCTAAAGCTGCCAGCATCCTGTCACAATTCAGCCCAATGAGATGGTTCGACCACTCCTAATTGTGGTGATAGCCAAACATAGCTATGATTCGGATGAGACTGTAGGGATCAAATCATGTTCACTGTCTGGGCTCATGCCGCCTCAGTTCACCCCTGGAAACACCCCTGCCCATGACCACATACCGAGGAACAAAGTGTTGTAATGCGCCAGCTTCACTTTTTCTCAGTCTGTGAAAATAAACAGCAAACAACATGCAGTGAAACATACCAGCGCTCCACTGCAACGCCACTCTTTATAACATGAGCTCACACTCTAATGGGTACACAATACATCACTGTCAGAGTCCCTTGACACTGCGCCATGCCTGCCAAACACCAATACACTTGTCAGCAAATGACTTGCTACTCTGAGTGTCAGCAGCTGCCATAATGACAATTTATTTATCTGCATCTCTATCCTTTTGCTCACCTTATTCCCCCTTATGTTTCAACAAAAAATGCTGCAGCTTTCCCCCCACAAGGGGCACCATTGTCGTCACAAAGCTGCCTTTTGCAAGCTCTCACACGTTTTTTTCTTTCTTTATTGCATAGCAGTGCGTCCCCTCCTCACAGCTGGACTGACAACAACACACAGCCTCTCACTTGTTTCTACTTCAGACTGAAAAACAACAGATTTGGAAAAGTGTAGGAACAGGCCAAGAGAGCAGTTGATATACTGTTTCCAGCCTAAGGGCAACATACCAGCATGCTGCAGACATTTTTCAAGTCTCCAAGATTGAATTTGAGCCTTGCCCAACTCTCACAGTATACATCTCACACATGATCTGTACTGTATAGTATTACAGAAACATATAGCTGTAAAAATTCTCCCTGCTGTTTCTTTTAGTGGTCACCAACAGTGTGAACTCTGCTGCAGTGGTGTCCATAGAGACGGGGCAGAGGAGGCAGTAGCCCTTACATTGCCCTTGTGTTTAAAAAAAAGTGCCCTCTGCCCCTGTGTTGGATGAAATATTAAAAAACACCCTCTCAGATGCCCTTCTGTTGAATAAAACATATAGTGCCCCCATCAGTGATGTTTGGCTCTGATGTAACATTTCTGGGTTTGTCTTAATACTCTCAGAAGTTTCCGTTATTGTTAAATCAGTTGAAAGATCTGTGTCATCCAATAAAGAGGAGAAGTTACATCAAAGGACTCAGGGGGGGGATTCACAAGGGATTGTGTTGCTTTTGCACCTGCCAAACTTGTGGAAATGAGCCAAAAAGACACCATCTTATTCTGAAGCACGCACTTTGTGGAGGATTAGCACTGGTGCGCAGACAGCACCACAGAGTAATCTGCGCACCAGTGCTGTTTGCAAGCATTTAAACAAGCCATTTGGAGTAAAACAAGCCTCTTTCTATGCAAATAAGTCTCATTGCAAAACAGTTCTTTACTCACTAACTCTAGTATTAACAGCCTTGCACAGTTAAAGTGAAAATCTTACCATCTGCAGAAACTGTGCTCTATTTTCTTTGTATTCATAGGCGTTGTCATGTGCAAACTCTTTCAGTGATTATCACAACAAGTCCACCTCTTTGATGACCAAAATACACATATCTGTACTTTAAGTTACTTTTACAGGCCTATTTTTTATAATAACTAGAGACTGAATCAGTCTGAGGCAGCCTGTGAAGCAACCTCCCATATCCGGCTGTATTGTTACACAAAATTTAGTGTTTTGTTTGTTTGTTTGTTTTAATAAAACTACTGCTTTTCCAGCTTAGTCAAAGCAGTAAGCTGCAACTTGACTGTGAAACCTGTGTCATATTTTTAAAGAATTGTTTTTACTATAAGCAGGTAACAAGTTTACCTTTTTATTCAGCTCATCACATATGTAGATGTCTGAATGAGTGCACAGTGCAGCTTCGAGCAGCTGCTGCTTGTTCCAGTCACAATAGAACACTTTTTTGTTATGTTCACAGCAGCAATCTGGCCTTCAGCTTTTAAGCTGTGATGTAACAAATAACCTATTCAGTCTTGATATGTGAGCTTCATACTGGAAATAGCATCATTTTGTTTACCATTTATTTTTCAGTGATTGACTATTTTCTTTTCACACAAAATAATTTCTACATAAAATGCGCTCCTGTTTTTTTCTGTTGGTTGTAAAATGTACAGGTAGGTTTGAAAATGCTATTTTTTCTTTTATTATGCATATAATACCAGGGATTTAATACACTTTGGCAGTCTTTTCTCTCTTTGTGGAGGTCAGAGGAATATGTCCAAGTTTCTATGGAGAGTTCACAACAGCAGCTTGGCCTTCAGGCTGCCTGCCAGCGACAAAGCTCCGAAACCGTCAGTCCAAACCTGCCCACACACACAGTATGCTGCAATGAACTTATCAAAACTTTGGACCATAGAAAGGGAAACCAGAGCATCACTCTTGCCTACACAATAACTGAAACTTTGCCATGTCACAGGGTCATTCAATATCAGTCTTTCAACCTCTCTTATATTATTCTCTTTACTGATAGTTTCTGTTTTGAAAGTTGGGTTTTGAAAGTATCTTTTAAAAATCCCTTGATTTCAATCTAAATCCTAAAATATGATGAAAAAATGATTTATATATCTCATAACTACTCATTGCCTAATAGTATGCCTCATGATTTATGAGTGTAGATTGTCAAGACATCCTTAGCTAACCCTTGAAAAAGAAACACGAATTCATTTATAGTTCTTTAACAGTAAATTTCAAATGGATTT